GCTGGTCCTCGGTGGTGGGAGAGGGATGGATGTGTGGCCCTCACCTCTGCTGCTGTCCCTCTACCTGCCCACCCCTTCAGAAAATCCACTCTTGCTCCTTCACCCCTCCTACAGCAAGGCGCTGCACGATGGAAAGCAAACGTTCCACTCGATTTATTTCATTATTTCATAAGCAATGTTAAGCTTGCCATTTCCCATGGTCACGGCTGATTATTATTAGCAACAAAGCATCACTTCACATTAGACCCCAAATTTTACCGGCCTTGGAAGTGGTGCATCCCAGCAGGAAGAGTCGTGACTGTGAGCGATGGATGTGTGCACGTGTGGAGGTGTGCATGTGTGCATTCCCACTCCAACCCATTGTTCTGCCACAAAATATAAGAAAACAAATCTTCTTCCCCCCAACACACGTACATATGTACACACACAGCTCCCTACATAGGTCCCAGCATGTAAACACAAAGCCCAACATGCACATCTGACTGGGTGGGTGACTGTACAGACAGTTCTCTGATTTCCAAAGCACTACATAATTCAGGAATTCAAGCTGTGGTCATCATAGCCCTGATGTTCATCACCTGAAGTGCTATTTACATTTGATCAATAACAAACCAGTTGTTTCAAAAGGAAAATGAACTCCATCCTAAAGATGTTCTTTAAAACACTAAAGTGGAACTAAGTGCTCACTAATGTGGGACACAACTTCTCTTGCAGGGGAGGAACCAGTTGCAGGACAAATTGGTTGTGTCCAAATAACCAAGTTTAAATATGAATATCCAAAATAATAATCAAAATAATGTTAATAGAACCACCCCCACTTTACCCACCCTTCCCAAGGGATGAGTGAGGACCCCAGCCTGCTCACCTACTCAATTGCTCATCCCCAGGGCACACCAGGAGCTGGGCGAGAGCCACTAGCAGCAGCAGGGAAACTGAGGCCAGGAGAGCCAGGCTCTGGTCAGAGGATGGAAACAGAACCAGTGGCCAACACATAGAGGGTCACCTTCACGCATCAGACTGTGCTCCACAAGAAGTCACAGACAACATACTCTGAAGACCAAGCAGCAGGCAGCAATGGGACATCATCTTCTGTGGTCACAGGGAGGCTGGGGGCACAGGCAGAGGTGTCCGTTCTGACAAGGTCCTGCTCTCTGCCGAAAGATCTCAGTGTTGACATAAATCTCTGCCTGCCACTTTGTGGGAAAGCGATGCCATGGTGACTGGGTACAGAAGACCACTGTGACAGATTTTATTAGAAGCAAAGAATAAAACCAGGGATTTTATTTTTTTCTGATTTTAAACCAGGGCTATAGATCTCTTTTGCAGACAGGAACATGCCATTTATTTCCACTTGTTCTAGGAATCTCAACTATTGTACGCTTATTAAAGGAAACCCATAAAATATGCCTCCCAGTGTCTTTAACACATGCTTTACAAGAAGCCCCTAAACTCTAACAAATGGCATTATTTTTCTCAGTAAGCACCTAAGAGAATGGGTCCATCCAGTTCACGGTATGGCTGCTTCTCCTGGAAAGGCACCGCTTTTCTGCATGTTCCCTGTACACTCCATCCCTCCAGATGTCCTGAGTACCTGCATTTTACAGCAAGAGACAACTTGCCCAAATTGCAGACATCTCAGCCCAATTTGCTGAGTAACAAGGAGCATAATCCCACCCAGATGCACCCCAAAGGAGATGCTCTCCCATCGTGGGGTGCACAGGTAGGGGTACCGCTGTCAAGCAATGCCCTGCTTTAAAAGTAAGGAAGGGTTCACCCAAAATACTGAGCAATCTCTACCGCACACATCCATCTCTTACCAGGCCAGGTGCTAATCTCGGTTACACCAGCATGTCCCAAATAATTCTACTGAATTTTGCCAGTTTTCTCCACTGGTGAAAAAGAGGATGAGACTTTGCCCCAATGATGCAGAGGACTAAATAAAGCAACTTCCAAACACTCCTTGAGATGAAAATGTCTGACTTTGGATTCTTGTTTTGCTGCAAAGTATATCAAGTGTAAACCTGTTTTTTTCAGGAAAAATAAAACTCAGTCTATTTAATTCCTTTTTATTCTAAAAAAAAAAAAAAAAAATTTTTTTTTTTTTTTAAAGGCAAGTTTCTTAAAAAAATCACCATTTAAGCTATAAGGCAAAGGAAACATTTTAATGAGCTATTCAAAAAAAGGTTCCTGTGCAGTGGTACAGAAGAATATGTAGCGCAATCGCAGTAATTCACCTTCCATGTAACACAAAACATCTCAGGAATCTGAAAAATACAACTAAAGGATTGAGCTCTGCAAATCTGAAAAGCACCCATTAGACATGTAAAGGTGCTGCTGATCTAAGAAAATTTTACAATTTTAGCTCACTGTTGTAGAAAAGCCTTGCTACATTTTTGCTTGGAATCTACAGCCACCTACCTGCAACAGGCTCTCAACATCAGGAGCCCAAGTAGGCAGTTTTTACAAAGGGTTATTTATAACAATTACACGAGGAATCCACAAAACTTCTCAGGGGCCAATAGAGACAACAACCCCCCCCAAACTATACATTTATATAGAAACTCCAAAAATATGTATGCAAATATCAATGCAAAACACGATAACGATTATATCTGCAAACTGTGATCACTCAAATTTACTCCTTGCAGAAATTTTTATTTTCTAATGGTAAACATCAAGGATCATTAGGATCCTCTAAAAAGCCCTGCCGCTCGCTCTCTCAGCCTCCAGCAAACACACCCATACATGTGTATACACACACCAAATAAATTCAGCGCGTTAATGGAGCGAAGTTTCCATGGTGCAGTATCTATATGTGATGGGAATATGACACGGAGCCAACAGACGTATTTAGCGTACGCTTTCCTGGTAGTTACGAAAGAATTTTAATGTCAATGAAATACCAGGGATGTTGCATTTGCTCAGCACTAACCAAGTGTCTTAAAGAAATTTAACAATACGAGTAAGAAAAACAACAAAACAAAACACCTTCCATTTCTGCCCAAGTTTTCAAAGCTGCCTGTAAAGTTTTTTTTTCAGCTTCCTTTTCCCAGCAAGTCCCTTGCTGCAGTACTGGCGGTGGCAGGGAGACGGGTGTCACCATGCCGGCCCCTCGCACCCGCCCCTGCAAAGCCCCGTCTGCTTCCAGGAAGGAGAAGACCCATGTTGGGCACCCGCTGTTGGCAAAGGCAAGGCACGGTGGTGGATGTGGACGTGCCTGTCTGTCCACAGCTGCACTCCATGTGGTCTAATTCATTTAAGAGATTTACTTCTTTAAATGGGGTATCTGACAGGATTGTGCTAGCAAGATCTGTAGCAGCTGATGCGCTCTAAATTCATTTAGCTCGCGGCCCCGCTCCTCTGCCACTATCTCCTGGAGTAT